AGCGGCTCTGGGCGTCGCAGCGTGCCCGCCTTGTCGCTGCCGGACACCCTGTGAGATGCGCGTCCGGCGCGCGTGCCCGGCGCTGTGGGCTTGTGGAGGTGGGGGGCCCTGCACCAGACCCCAGGAGCCGAAAGGGATGCTGAGAGGACGCTGCGCCCCAGCCGCGCCTCTGGAGGGCGACAGAGAAGGCCAGGCAGCCTGGGCCCCTCTCTGGGAGGACATGATGGACCAGCGGGAAGTTTGTGGAGTTGGACAGTGTGTCCCTCCCCGCCCCCCAGCCTCCAGATCCGTCCTGGATCTCTGGGTGTTCCAGATCTATGCTGGGTCAGGACTTGGGGTTTCTTCCAGCAAATGGTACTTTGAAGCCCTTCCCCAGAACTGGCTGTTATCCCTGTCTTGTGTTGCGGTGGACTCATTTCCCACAGAAAGTATACCCTTTGTCCTGTGCAGGGAGTCCGCTGATCTGGGCACCCCATACCTGGCTGGGAGTCCCTTCACAGCATGCAGCTGCGATACCTCACCTCTGTGCCCAAGCCAGAATCTCCAGGCTCCAGGACTCATGCAGCTCTCCTCTTTCTTCCTGGGACCCCCTGCTTGTCCCCACTTTGCTCTTCAGCCTCTGTCCACTGTCCTGACTCTCCTGGAGGGCCCATTACCTGTGTGAGTCCTTGGGACACAATGGCCCCAAGCTTAAGTCTCCAGACTCAGTTCTGGGGCTGGTGGGGCTACGGTGGGGTTTCTGAGGAAGATGACAGTAATTATAAGTCGTTTTGCATGCATAGTGAATTACCATCAATAAACACCTGATGGAAAAAGTGAATTCTGGAGGTCATTTTTCCCCTCCTAGCATTTGCGCCTAGCATTTCCCTCACAGTCCAGGAAAGAAAGAGAAGAGCCAACTCCAGGTCCCTTCCCACACCATCCTGCTACCTGAGGAGGGCCTGAGTCCACCCTGACACAACCACATTCTCCTCCTATGTTCAATTTGCTTGCCTTCCGAAAGTCCTTCCTATGGGCCTCTTACCTGTCCTGCCTGGGGATGGGCAACCCTGAGGGCCTATGAGGTCTTGTTGTAAGGACCTGGGAACCCAGGGGATCACTAGAGGGCCTGAGAGCTGGACTGAGCCACCAGAGGAGGCAAAGGGGTCTATTGCTATCCCCTTGCTCACCTAGGGCAGGTCTAGGGTGGCCACTGAGAGACCTTGCGTGGAGAGGATGGAGGTTGTTTCAAGGCGTGCTGAGTGGGGTGAAAGGGATCACTTCCTCACACAGGGCTCTGGGTTCAATAGGGGGAAACTGAGGCAGAGAAGCGCTGTCATAGAGGTAGATTCACTGTGACCAGCCCATCCCCTCACCCCACCCCCATGGCTCCAGCAAAATACTCTTGACCTCTCCACTTTGTGTCTTCTCAGCTGCTGCTTATGTGTCCTTTCCCAGAGTGGACTTTGCAGAGACTGGGGCTCCTGAAAGTCCAGGTGGGCCCGTGGGGACAGGACCCCTCCCCTGTGAGTATGCTGTCTGCTTCCTGGCCCCAGAAGCGAGCTTCCTGTCAGACTCTGCTTGGACACCTATTGGTGCTGCCACTCTGCCTTTACAACTTGATTCCTTTGAGTCAGGCTTTCATTCTGTTTAAAAAGGACTCTTCACTTTTTTAAATGTTACAAATTCCATTCAGTATGCTCTGATCACTTGGTGTGCACACATGCTCCTTTATTCAACATCTATGAGGGGCTTCGGGAAGTTCATGGGAAATTTCCCTCATCTTTAAGTTCTATTTTTCCAAGATGTTTTGGAAGCCTCCTTGTATTTATTGAGCACCCGACCCTGGTGGCAGATAAAGTTAAGAACCGTAAAGCTGGTGTGGCTCTGTGGGCTAATGCGCTGGACTGCAAAGTTGTTTTGAACTGCAAGGTTGACGGTTCAAGCTTACCAGCTGCTCCTTGGAAACCCTATACAGGGTCACTATGGATCGGAACCAACTCGATGGCACTTAACAACAAAGGTAACGTAAAGACTGGTCCTTCAAACCCAGCCGGTGGCCCTGAGAAAGAAAGATCTGGTAATCTGCTTCCACAAAGTTTACAGATTCGAGACGCCTGTGGAACTCAAAGCTCGATCCTGGGAGCGGAGAGGAAAGAAAGGCAAAGGAGACGTATGTTTTCTGTGACCTGAAAATTAGCAGTCCCTTTAGGAAACGGACAAAGAGACAGGCAACTAAAATAGAGTTGGCACCCATCATGATGGGAGGGGTGGAAGAACACTGTTGGCACACAGGGACAGTCACTTGACCCCAAATCAGGCAGAGAATGGCATGAGAGGTAGGCAGGGCCGGTTTGTTTCACAAACACGTTCTTGGTACCATCCTTAGGACAAACACATGCATAATTGAAAAGGAGTTTCACAAAACAGTACTTAGCCTTGCAATGTTCTCTGATATTTGTTCTTCTACCCTAATTCATTCCTGAAAATGCTGGTTGCCCACCCAGTAATTTGGTTTACTGTAATTTTATTTGTCTGAAAAACACTGTTTCAGGAGAAATGTGATCGATGCTGTTTTGGGGAGGGTAAATTGGACTTGGCATGCAAAAGTGGGTATGGAGGGTGGTGGTGGTGGTGGGCATGGTTGGGGAGGGTGTTCTGAGCAGAGGAAAGGCAGGGCATGAAAAGGAAAAGTCGACTTCATCTTAGAATGCAGACCATGAGATTTTTTGCAGCTGCAGCTTTCAGGGTATGGTGTTAGAGTGTTTTATACTGAAAATTGTATGGGAAAGACAAATCAGAAGGAAGCTGTGTTTGTTTTTAGTGTTGCCGTAACAGGGTGGTTTTAAAGATCAGACACTTATATTCTCACAGTTCAGGAAGCTAGAAGCTCAAATTCAGGGCCCCAGTTCCTGGAAAAGTCTCTCCCTGTCATCTCTGGGGAAGAGTCTTTAGCTCTTTTAGCTTGTGTTTCCCAGTCCCTTAGAGATCTCCACAGGGCGTGTCTCTTTTCCCCATTTGTCCATGGCTGTCTCTGTGTCTCGTCTACCCTTTGTATATCTCAAAAGTGATAGGTTTAAGATGCACTGTAATTAATACGTTCTCACTAACACAACAAAGAAAACTTTCTTTGGGACCACATACACAGGTATAGGGGTGAGGATTCCAAAGCACATGTGTATGTGCATGTGTAGGTGTATAGGGGGCAGTTCAATCCATAAGAAGCAAGCTCTTGGAGCTTACGACTTACAATCCAAAATGGTTGAGAGTCTAAAACCCAGTAAGGTTGGAAAAGTCTGATTCTCTACTACAGGTTGCAGGTAGAGGAAATGGAACCAGTGAACACACGAAGACATAGGACTGGAACTGCAAAACAGAGTGATACCCGCAACCCCTCACACACTTCCTGAGGACCAAACGGTAATTGCAGGGAGATGCCACTCAGTTCCTACCCACTGTTTCCAGAATCTGGAGAGACACACCAAAATGGGAACCAAGGATGAGGGATGAGCTGAATTCTGTTGCTAAGAAACAGAGCCCAATTCTGGATTCCAACACAAATTATCAGCTAACATGTTTGCTTTGTTGTTGTAGCTGATTGGTGGTTATGATTATTATCCAAAACAGACAGGGCAGGGCATTTTGAAACCTAAATAAGTTTGTTAAACGGTTGTAACAGCATCTGAATTCTAACCCTAACTAACAAACCAGAGGTTGTTAGTTGCCATGGAATCAGCTCCAGGTTCCAACTCATAATGATCCCATGTACCACGGAAGGAAACACTTTCTGGTCTTGCACCATCCTCACAATTGTTGTTATGTTTGAGCCCATTTTTGTAGCCACTGTGCCAAGCCATCTCTTTGAGAACCTTCCTCTTTTTCACTGACCTTCTATTTTGCTAAGCATGATGTCTTTCTCTGGGGACTGGTCCCTCCTGATGATGTGACCAAGTCTCTCCATCCTGTCTTCTATGGAGCATTCTGGCGGCACTTCTTCCAACATAGATTTATTTCTTCTTCTGACAGTCCACGATGTATTTGATACTCTTCACCAACACCATTATTCAAATGTGTTGGGTCTTTGGTCTTCCTTATTCATTGTCCAGCTTTCATATGCATGTGAAATGATTGAAACTATCATGACTTAGATCAGGCACACCTTAGTCTGACAAGTAGTATCTTTGCTTCTTAATACTTTTAAGAAATGCCTTGCAGCAGATTTTCCCAATGCAACATAATTTGACTTCCTTACTACTGCTTTCATGGGTGTTTATGTTGAATCCAAATAAAATCCTTTACAACTTCAACATTTTCTCTGTTTTTCATGATATTACTTACAGGTCCATAAAGGTGCAATGATTTCATTCATGAGGAAATCTTCAGGTCTCACACCATACCAAACCAGCTGACACTGACTGCTAAAGGCACTAGGCCCACAGATGGGGGCACCTTAGCTAGTGGACAGCTCAGCTGATCATATAGTACAATAGAAATACGAGTCTCCCAGAGTTAAGTTATGGCGGATGAAGCTGGTGGACCAAGGCATCCATACTGCTGTCTGGGCAGGAGATCTTAACTTCTCTCCAAGGGTTCTTGCACACTGCTCACATCGTGCTCTGCTTTTCAAAACAGGGATGTTGTTGTGATCTCCCTGCTTTCTCTCCACTCTACCATACTGATTGTCTGTGAATCACTCATGGTTACCAGAACTGACCAAGGACTCCCGGAC